TATATATATATATATATATATATATATATATATATATTAAATATTTTAAATATAATCAATTCAAGCATAAGATTTTCATAGGATATATAATCAATACAAGGGAGAGCGGCGCAGAGAGGTGGTGGGGGTGTAAAACTTTTTATTTTTTTGGTTTTTGCATTTTTATAATTTAGGTCTTCTAATTTTCCAACTAGGTTCTCAAATTAAATTTAAGATATAAGTAAGAAATATATGTTTGGCAGAATCATTGTCAACAAAATTACAAATCTCGAATAAGGCTCGAAAGATGCTAGATAGAATAATATCTAAAGTAGGAAGCCTATTCCAATATGATTTTGTTACAAGGTTTTTTTTTGTGTTCCCAAGCTCATCCCCCGACCTCTTTCCTCGGTCGAACAGTAGCACTTTGAATAAAGACGTTTCATGTTGTTTCTTGTTATCTGAGATTGCACCGATGAGACCATCCATCGGACTAGAAGCGATGATTATATCGAAACCCTCCCTTTTGATGGGAGCTTAGGATGACTTGCCTTTAATCAAGGACAATCCTATCAGCTCATAACTATTTTGATTTTGTTCATCAGAGCTTCTCATTTCATTAATATAAGAAGCAATCTGCAATCAAACTAACTATTTTCGAAGCAAGTAATATGCAGTTCATCGAATGTCTCAAGCTTTCAGTTGCTCAATCCTACTTTCGCCTCTATGATCAACAACCTCAAGTTATTATATAGCATCTGATCATTATTCCGTTTATAGAGCAGTTTTTGCAGCAAAATTTGATACCTCACAACCGCAATAAATTAAATTGAGGTTTCTGTAATTATAATTATGCACAGAATGAGATCAGTCCTGGAATGTGCCAGCTGCTTTCTATGGTCTTCGATGGACCTTTGAGCTCTATGGTGCAGTAGGCCCATTACATTTCACTTCTGAAAGAAGAGAGAGAAAAAGAAAGATCATGCCAATAAATCCATTGGATATAGCAGTTGCTTTAGACTCATTGAAATGGTAGAGATAAGATTCTGTGGCAAGAGAAGATGAGAAAAGCTTACTCTAGTATTTCTTTCCAGCCAGGATCTTTGTCCAGGTTTGTATGTGTCTTATCACTTGGCTTCATCGGGTCAATGGTCTTGGTCTCTTGAGAGGCTGAAGCAAATGGAGTAGAATCTGAAGCTCTGGAATGAAATGGCGCTTGGAACATTGCTGATCTCCGCACCACCTCCATCCTTGCAAAAGCTGGACTCTGGCACATGTTGTAAGTCCATGCTCAAGTATTGACCCACACCTGAAAGGTCTGGAACCGCTGAAACTGAATCCTGAAGGTCGAGTGAGCCACCAAGGAAACCTTCAATCTCGCGGTTCAGCGAGAAGAGATCATTGGCTTGGTTGTTTCCGAGAGAAGGCGATCCGAAGAGACTCATCGAGTCCATGTGTGGGGAGGAACCGCTTGTTACGGCCTGAATCAGGCTCTGCAACAGCTGCAGCTGGACAAGCTGTGCAGCATCTGCCTGCATCAGCTTGAGAGCATCGAGCAGATTGAGATTAGTAGTCGTCGGCCTGTGGGTCACCGGATGGATCCCCATCCGGAGGAGCTTCTTCCTCAAGTGCGTGTTCCGATAGATCTTGATCTCGTTGTCCGTCCTCCCGGGCAGCTTCGCAGCGATCGAGGCCACCTTCCATTAAGAGAAAGCGTTTGGTTAGGTAAAGATCAAAACACCATGGTTATTACTTGTTCCCGAGAAAGAGTAGAGGTGAATGTTGTGCTCGTGGGAAGTAAGACGGAAATAAAAATAGAATATCATAATAATTAAGAGAGAATAATTTTAAGGAAAGACAAAACTTAGAAAAACTTTTTACTCTCCAGTGCATATACCTTTACTTCATGAATCATGATCTTATTTATATGATCTATTGGTAACTACCTCATCTCATCATGTCACTCATGATTAAGTTTGGTATAGTAACTATGCTCATGACTCTAATTTCTTAGATCATGGGTTACTTATATAGAACTACTTAAAACATAATTATAACTATCTAAAACATGATAATTAACTAAGATAACTATATATGAATCGATTTGCATGATTCATAGTTACATACACCAATTTGAGACATAAAAAAAATACTTCTGAATTGGAAATGACTTGGTGAAAATATTTGTAACTTGTTTATCTATGCTACAATGCTTCATTGTTATAGCTCTACTTGCTACAAGATCCTCGGATAAAATAATAGCATATCTCTATATACTTCATTCATCCATAAAAGGTTATATTATTCATCATTGCAATTGTGGTTTTGTTGTCATAAAATATTTCAATTACTTCTTTTTGTTCTTGATGAAGATATCCAATAAGTCATCTAAACCATATTGCTTAACAAGAGACTGATGTTGCAATTACATATTCTCCTTTCTATGTCGATAACACAATTATTGCTTGCTTCTTTGAATTCCAAGATATAGCTCATCAACCGAGGCTAAAAATATTATTTAAAGTATTCTTTCTATTATCTAAAGCTCTTGTCCAATCATTATTAGTGAAACTAAATAATTTACATTTAAAATTATGAGAATATCAAATATCATAATATATAGTTCAAATAATATAACACATAATTCTTTTAATAACTCAGAGGTGATATTTACTTAGATTATACATAAACTTGGATACTACATTAATAATGAAGGTAATATATGATTGAGTATGAGTTAGATAAATCAAATCTCTAACCAAACTTTTGTAGTATCTTACATTCATGAAACATATACCATTTTTAAATTTTAATTTCTCATTTATATTGTTGTTGTGCCTTTATGATTAATCATATTATACTTTTTGAATAGATCTATTATATACTTTCTTTATGAAATAAAAGTTTTATTTAATCCTTGCTTCATCTCCAACCCAAGAAAATAGTATAGTATTTCAAACTTATTCATCATATATTTTTTAAATTC